TTTGGGAAATCAAAAATTTGGGAAATTAAAAATATAAACAATTAAAAGAAATTGTGCACTTTTTCCAAATATGTAGAATTGGTCTAAAAAGTCTGTAAAATTAGTACACCAGGAAAAAGATCCTCCCGCGATCCTACGATTCCACGTTCCTCGAAATCGGTCAACGCACGTTTCACGCTCGAAAAGAATGCACCGTTGCATAATGCAGTTCAGATGATTCTTTTCCCGATGGGCGACAGTGCGCAATATTTTCGTGACCCCCAGTTGACATTGCCAAAAGTTATGAATACAGGCGACGATAGAGGACGGTCTGAGTGGAGTGGAGGCCAAGGTTAAGGTCGGCCCCCACTTTGTTCACAATGCCAGCCATTCGTCCGACTCTCTTCCTCCTGCCTCTCCTGTCACTGCTGCCTTTCTGTCCGCCTGTTTCTCTCTCTCTCTCTCTGCTCGTCTTCCTGGTCAGATGACGTAACTTCCGACCTCCACCAGCATCACCGTACTATTTACTTACCTGAAAATCCTGAAAATGCAATTGTGTGCTTTTCCACCATGAAAATTTCAAATCTCACGTCATCGAGAGAACATATATTCGAGAATGTCGAACGAGATACAAGCAGAAGATGTATATAGCGAGGAAGAAGACAAATTTCGACGCATTAGATGGAAGATATGAAATGAAAAATGAAAAACTTTCATTTTTGTTTTCATCAAACTTTTATACCGCTACCATATTTTCCAGCGATATCGTGTCTACCGATAGTGACGTTTCACGTCTGGGAACTTTCCACAGAGTTTCCTTGCCACTGATTTCGTTCTGAAAGTAGCGAGCCCGTGGCTGCTCCTCTGGAATATCTAACAGACAGTAGCTATCTGTTATTGGGTTCGACGTCAGTCGCAGACTTGTGCAGTGGAATCAGACATTGGGGTCAGCCGAGTGTGAAACACGGGGATACTCGCCTCTGTGTGTGTTCGCGAATCCTTTGCGTTCTACACACACACAAGCACGCGAAAATCAGCGCACGAGTGCGATAGGGGGAGAAGGTTTGGAAATGGTTCGCGCAGACGTTACAGAAATTATCTGGCTGAGCAATTTCGAGCTCGCGAATTCCATTTCCCTCGATATACGCGACGCGCGTATCCTCCACACGACCACCCGCTCGCTCTCCTCCGACTCGTCTGCGTTTCCAAGTTCCGCGCGTCGATCGAGGGGTGAATTTTCCTTCCATTCCACTGACTTTATATCCCGCGACTCTCGTGGCCCCCTTTTTCTCTGACATGCCACGCAGATAGAGAGGAATGTAAACGTAGTCGAGTGGTGTAGCACCGGTGTGTGGTCCTTGGCGAGCTTTTCGCCAGGAGAAATGCGCGACGCCCGCTCAGGGAGGGTTTAGCGAAAGGGGGATGGAGTTATTATGTATCGCGAGATGTGTGCGGTGAAACTACGATTTTTTTCTCCTTTTTTCCTTCAGATTTTTGCGTGGGTTACGTTGCAATTGAGTATTGCGATTGTTGGTTTTTTTAAGGGGTAGAAGTAAATTTTCTCCGACTAGGTTCACTTAATTGATCGAAAGCCAGGGAGTTTCTATCAAAGGTATTCTATCAAAATTTTGATTGTATCCAAAAGTCGGAAAGAATTCATTTTTACGCCTAATATATACCAGTTGGACACTTACTGTAAAATTCTCTCTTAATCTGTATTTGTCAGTTGTATCTTCTGTTATAATACTTTGATTCCTTTCTCTGCTAGCTCCCTTACACTTCCACACACCACACTCGATCCTTCGAACGATCTCCTACTTTCCCTGACGACAGTGATTTAAAAAACTGCGCAAAATCGTTAATTAACGTGAGACCGTTTGTTTGTTGCAGGCAAAGTTGCGGTGCGAACGGGATCTTCTCGCGTCGTCTGGACTTCAGCGCCTTCAACAGCCTGCCGCGCACTAAACTGAACTCCTACCACATTAAGGTGAGTACTCATATAATTCTGCATAATTTGTTTCGAAGAATATGTGTAAATTTTTTCTTAAAAAATTTGTTAATACAAGAGATAAGCGGTGTGAGAAGAAATTCGCACGGACTCTCTAGCCGCGTACTCTAGTCACGAGCAGGGAAAGTTTGAAATAGTAACCCGGCTAGAGCCACGGGAAAGCGAGGAGGAGCTATACGGGATTCCTTAAAGCGGAAGGTTCGCGATAGAGTAAGGTCACGGCGAACGCTGAGGGATATCCTCTTGCTTTAAGGCCTTCCTAGAAAATTCCCGCTTCTGATTCTTCCCTTTACTATCGTACTATAGCACGAAGAAAAAGAAAGCACCAGTTATCAGTCTTGTAAATAATAAAAATACCTTTTTCAGTAATATACAGAAAATATGAGAAATCGAAAATATTAAGAAATCGAAAATATGGGAAATCTAGAATTTGGGGAACCTAGGACTTTTGGGAAGCTAGGACTTTGGGGAACCTAGGACTTTGGGGAACCTAGGACTTTGGGAAACCTAGACTTTGGGAAACCTAGACTTTGGGAAACCTAGGACTTTGGGAAACCTAGACTTTGGGAAATCTACAATTTGGGAAACCTAGACTTTGGGGAACCTAGACTTTGGGGAACCTAGACTTTGGGGAACCTAGACTTTGGGGAACCTAGACTTTGGGGAACCTAGACTTTGGGGAACCTAGACTTTGGGGAACCTAGACTTCGGGGAACCTAGACTTCGGGGAACCTAGACTTTGGGGAACCTTAATTTGGGAAATTAAAAATATAAACAATTAAAAGAAATTGTGCACTTTTTCCAAATATGTAGAATTGGTCTAAAAAGTCTGTAAAATTAGTACACCAGGAAAAAGATCCTCCCGCGATCCTACGATTCCACGTTCCTCGAAATCGGTCAACGCACGTTTCACGCTCGAAAAGAATGCACCGTTGCATAATGCAGTTCAGATGATTCTTTTCCCGATGGGCGACAGTGCGCAATATTTTCGTGACCCCCAGTTGACATTGCCAAAAGTTATGAATACAGGCGACGATAGAGGACGGTCTGAGTGGAGTGGAGGCCAAGGTTAAGGTCGGCCCCCACTTTGTTCACAATGCCAGCCATTCGTCCGACTCTCTTCCTCCTGCCTCTCCTGTCACTGCTGCCTTTCTGTCCGCCTGTTTCTCTCTCTCTCTCTCTGCTCGTCTTCCTGGTCAGATGACGTAACTTCCGACCTCCACCAGCATCACCGTACTATTTACTTACCTGAAAATCCTGAAAATGCAATTGTGTGCTTTTCCACCATGAAAATTTCAAATCTCACGTCATCGAGAGAACATATATTCGAGAATGTCGAACGAGATACAAGCAGAAGATGTATATAGCGAGGAAGAAGACAAATTTCGACGCATTAGATGGAAGATATGAAATGAAAAATGAAAAACTTTCATTTTTGTTTTCATCAAACTTTTATACCGCTACCATATTTTCCAGCGATATCGTGTCTACCGATAGTGACGTTTCACGTCTGGGAACTTTCCACAGAGTTTCCTTGCCACTGATTTCGTTCTGAAAGTAGCGAGCCCGTGGCTGCTCCTCTGGAATATCTAACAGACAGTAGCTATCTGTTATTGGGTTCGACGTCAGTCGCAGACTTGTGCAGTGGAATCAGACATTGGGGTCAGCCGAGTGTGAAACACGGGGATACTCGCCTCTGTGTGTGTTCGCGAATCCTTTGCGTTCTACACACACACAAGCACGCGAAAATCAGCGCACGAGTGCGATAGGGGGAGAAGGTTTGGAAATGGTTCGCGCAGACGTTACAGAAATTATCTGGCTGAGCAATTTCGAGCTCGCGAATTCCATTTCCCTCGATATACGCGACGCGCGTATCCTCCACACGACCACCCGCTCGCTCTCCTCCGACTCGTCTGCGTTTCCAAGTTCCGCGCGTCGATCGAGGGGTGAATTTTCCTTCCATTCCACTGACTTTATATCCCGCGACTCTCGTGGCCCCCTTTTTCTCTGACATGCCACGCAGATAGAGAGGAATGTAAACGTAGTCGAGTGGTGTAGCACCGGTGTGTGGTCCTTGGCGAGCTTTTCGCCAGGAGAAATGCGCGACGCCCGCTCAGGGAGGGTTTAGCGAAAGGGGGATGGAGTTATTATGTATCGCGAGATGTGTGCGGTGAAACTACGATTTTTTTCTCCTTTTTTCCTTCAGATTTTTGCGTGGGTTACGTTGCAATTGAGTATTGCGATTGTTGGTTTTTTTAAGGGGTAGAAGTAAATTTTCTCCGACTAGGTTCACTTAATTGATCGAAAGCCAGGGAGTTTCTATCAAAGGTATTCTATCAAAATTTTGATTGTATCCAAAAGTCGGAAAGAATTCATTTTTACGCCTAATATATACCAGTTGGACACTTACTGTAAAATTCTCTCTTAATCTGTATTTGTCAGTTGTATCTTCTGTTATAATACTTTGATTCCTTTCTCTGCTAGCTCCCTTACACTTCCACACACCACACTCGATCCTTCGAACGATCTCCTACTTTCCCTGACGACAGTGATTTAAAAAACTGCGCAAAATCGTTAATTAACGTGAGACCGTTTGTTTGTTGCAGGCAAAGTTGCGGTGCGAACGGGATCTTCTCGCGTCGTCTGGACTTCAGCGCCTTCAACAGCCTGCCGCGCACTAAACTGAACTCCTACCACATTAAGGTGAGTACTCATATAATTCTGCATAATTTGTTTCGAAGAATATGTGTAAATTTTTTCTTAAAAAATTTGTTAATACAAGAGATAAGCGGTGTGAGAAGAAATTCGCACGGACTCTCTAGCCGCGTACTCTAGTCACGAGCAGGGAAAGTTTGAAATAGTAACCCGGCTAGAGCCACGGGAAAGCGAGGAGGAGCTATACGGGATTCCTTAAAGCGGAAGGTTCGCGATAGAGTAAGGTCACGGCGAACGCTGAGGGATATCCTCTTGCTTTAAGGCCTTCCTAGAAAATTCCCGCTTCTGATTCTTCCCTTTACTATCGTACTATAGCACGAAGAAAAAGAAAGCACCAGTTATCAGTCTTGTAAATAATAAAAATACCTTTTTCAGTAATATACAGACACCAACATTTTTCTTTTACCATAGAGCAGAGAAACAGCATTTTAACCCTATTATGTATATATACTTAAGCAACATTCCATATTTTTCACATTCTTTCCGTGTTCTCAAATCTACAACCGCAATAAAAATCCATCGAGACCTACATCGCCGTCGTCCACCCTCAACCCTGGATTTGTTTACCCTAATCTCCGTCCTTCGCAGTAGCGTGTGCGTCTCATATCGAAGCCACACCGCACCCCTACAAAATAATCCGCTGCGCAACGCGGTTTCTCCTCTTTTTTTTCCTTCTTCCCTCTAGCCATCCTTTTCACGGCCAGAGGAGAATCCTTTAGCCCAGGCGTACTGCGTCGTAACACTGTCGTCCTACCCCAAATACGCCGCGGGAAAATCAATACGAACGCGCTCGGTTCCCGACCATCCTTCGTGTACTCACGCGACTCGTTATTACACCGGAATCCCGATACGAGCGCATAAACGAGCTCGCACACGCGTCTCCGTCTATACACGTACGAATAGATTCTCCACGGGGAGGAATCGTAGCTTTTCGTTTAATCGCCCGTCTTGTAGAGTGACGCGTTGCGGTAGGTCGATCTAAGAGGGGCCAACCACAGACGTTGGCCAGATACGACGCAGTAAGGTTTCTCTTGCGTCGCCGTGCAGGGAATTCGCGACACTCCTCTTTTATCCATCCGCGCGCTAGAAACTCGGACAACGGGACACGTCCGTCTCTCGATGGCTGTTCAATTTTAATCGAAATCGTTGCGAAAACTCGGTGACGCAACTCTGTGTAACGTACACGGGTGGTCCAGATACACGTATACGCGTTGCGATATGCTGGTTGGTGACCACGCGGTAAATTGATGGATTACGAATTGATTAAACGGGTGCGGTTACCACGGTGGTTTAAATTCCGCCGATAACTGCAGATTATACACTCTGCGTGCAGGGGTGGTACAGGTAAAATTAATACCTGTGCGCGGGGGAATGTTAACCGTTTGAGTGATATCGAAAAGTGTCACCGCATCGGGCTACGAAGTGTAAATTTTATTCTATTTTTTTTATAAAAAGTTGCACATAATCAATTTTGCCTTTGTTTCGTGTTATTTCCAAATAGTCGTATTCAGGAAAATGTCCAAAAGAAAATTTTTGTAATTTTTCGACATCAAATGAAAGAAGCGCGATCGCGCCGCTTGGCACTTTTGGATTGGGAAACAACAAAGACCCGTGGCATTCAAACGGTTCACGCGGTAATGTATGCGTGCAAAAATACACGCGGTTCGACCACACTGGACGTCCTTTATACGCGGTGTCCCGCGATTTTTACTTTCAGTTTCGTTGAAATTTTCGAGGAATATTGGAGAAACAGTGAATCGGAAGAATAAACAACTCGAACAAAAAAATTGATCTGAATTTCTGTATATAAATTACGAATTTCTAAAAAAAAAAGGGTTGAACGATATTTCCCTTCACTCTCGCGTACCTCGAGGCACGCTATATATGAAATACACGCGCTTTCAAATTGCCCGCCATTTAGGCAGGCCGAACTAACGCGAACAAGAAGCGAAGGGGCGAGAGGGAGAGAAAAAAAGAAAAAGACAACAAACGACTAGCAAAATAGCCCGCGTTGCACTGGTTCTTCCCCTCTTATGCTCTGTAAGTGGCGGTGCTTCGAAACGAGCAACCATAACAGCGCCACAGAGTCACCCCCTCGTATTTTCGCCGGTCGGCCAGGGGTTCGCGCCGAAAAACACTGACGTAGGGTGGAGAGAAGGGGTTAATTTGCGAGTCGCGTAGTCCGTCGTTAGCCCGGAGGTCCAGAGGCGAGACGAGGCTAGAATATTGTACTTATTCCTGGTCTGTGCGTTCACGTTTTGTGTGAAATACGGTTTTGCGGCGGAGGGACGGGGTGTGCTCTTTTTACGTCTGGCTTTTTCGCGTAACCTTTCATCGTTGCACGCGCTCGTTCGAAGCAGAGGAGGAAGGTAGCCCATAAAAGGCCTTCACCAGCCACGGGCTTTCCGCGTCGTCCACGGAGGCCACGCTCTCTCTCTTCTCTCTCTCTCGCCTCTTCCTCTCTATTATTTATTCCTTTTGCAAACGCAGAAAAGGCGTACGCTTTATTAGACGCAACAATGGACAGGGCCGCAACGCGGGTTTACAGCCTTATCGCCCCGCGGATTCCTTTCATTCGCGCCGCGCGAGACGAATCGCGGAACGTTACGGATTTTCCAGCGTGAAAAGCCCCGCGCGTTTTATGGCGGATGAAGCGTCGTTGGAAATAAAGGTGGCGGTGTGCTGTTTCGTTCCGTTGGGAAAATGGGTACCATCATCTCTGCGAGAGAGGCCTATTTTGCCCCGATAAGCTTCTGGCCTTTTAGAACGATACGGTGCTTGGCTTTCGCTCTTTCGCTACTTTCAATGGTCTCTAGTAATTTCGAACGCGAGTCGGGGGATATTACGTCGTTAGACCGGCGAATGTTTAAGAGGATATCACTTTACTTTAGTCTGAAACTTATTAAGATATGGAGGATTTAACCGTGAAACAGATTATGGACCATATATGGGTCAAATATGACCCAATATTAAAATCTTTTTCGTACGCAAGCGAAGCCACTTTTTTTATTTTACCAGGCATTGTATCGTTTAAAATTATACAAATATATTATTATTTAAAGAACAGAAATATTTGTAATACAGGGAGAGGAGAGTTGTGACTCTATTTCGGATTGATGCAATAGACATTTAATAGCCGGGTCAGCTGTGACCCGATCATCCGTCGTTCAAAGGCCAACAAAGTTAATTAAACGTGTTGTGTTAGATACAATTACTACTTCGGTATTCTAATTATCCACGTTATTCCGTTCTTCCTGCAACAAAAATTGGAGGATTGAAAAAACCTAGACTTTGGGGAACCTAGGACTTTGGGGAACCTAGACTTTGGGAAACCTAGACTTTGGGAAACCTAGGACTTTGGGAAACCTAGACTTTGGGAAATCTACAATTTGGGAAACCTAGACTTTGGGGAACCTAGACTTTGGGGAACCTAGACTTTGGGGAACCTAGACTTTGGGGAACCTAGACTTTGGGGAACCTAGACTTTGGGGAACCTAGACTTTGGGGAACCTAGACTTCGGGGAACCTAGACTTCGGGGAACCTAGACTTTGGGGAACCTTGACTTCGGGGAACCTAGACTTCGGGGAACCTAGACTTCGGGGAACCTAGACTTCGGGGAACCTAGACTTCGGGGAACCTAGACTTCGGGGAACCTAGACTTTGGGGAACCTAGACTTTGGGGAACCTAGACTTTGGGGAACCTAGACTTTGGGGAACCTAGACTTTGGGGAACCTAGACTTTGGGGAACCTAGACTTTGGGGAACCTAGACTTTGGGGAACCTAGACTTCGGGGAACCTAGACTTCGGGGAACCTAGACTTCGGGGAACCTAGACTTCGGGGAACCTAGACTTCGGGGAACCTAGACTTCGGGGAACCTATTGCACATAATCAATTTTGCCTTTGTTTCGTGTTATTTCCAAATAGTCGTATTCAGGAAAATGTCCAAAAGAAAATTTTTGTAATTTTTCGACATCAAATGAAAGAAGCGCGATCGCGCCGCTTGGCACTTTTGGATTGGGAAACAACAAAGACCCGTGGCATTCAAACGGTTCACGCGGTAATGTATGCGTGCAAAAATACACGCGGTTCGACCACACTGGACGTCCTTTATACGCGGTGTCCCGCGATTTTTACTTTCAGTTTCGTTGAAATTTTCGAGGAATATTGGAGAAACAGTGAATCGGAAGAATAAACAACTCGAACAAAAAAATTGATCTGAATTTCTGTATATAAATTACGAATTTCTAAAAAAAAAAGGGTTGAACGATATTTCCCTTCACTCTCGCGTACCTCGAGGCACGCTATATATGAAATACACGCGCTTTCAAATTGCCCGCCATTTAGGCAGGCCGAACTAACGCGAACAAGAAGCGAAGGGGCGAGAGGGAGAGAAAAAAAGAAAAAGACAACAAACGACTAGCAAAATAGCCCGCGTTGCACTGGTTCTTCCCCTCTTATGCTCTGTAAGTGGCGGTGCTTCGAAACGAGCAACCATAACAGCGCCACAGAGTCACCCCCTCGTATTTTCGCCGGTCGGCCAGGGGTTCGCGCCGAAAAACACTGACGTAGGGTGGAGAGAAGGGGTTAATTTGCGAGTCGCGTAGTCCGTCGTTAGCCCGGAGGTCCAGAGGCGAGACGAGGCTAGAATATTGTACTTATTCCTGGTCTGTGCGTTCACGTTTTGTGTGAAATACGGTTTTGCGGCGGAGGGACGGGGTGTGCTCTTTTTACGTCTGGCTTTTTCGCGTAACCTTTCATCGTTGCACGCGCTCGTTCGAAGCAGAGGAGGAAGGTAGCCCATAAAAGGCCTTCACCAGCCACGGGCTTTCCGCGTCGTCCACGGAGGCCACGCTCTCTCTCTTCTCTCTCTCTCGCCTCTTCCTCTCTATTATTTATTCCTTTTGCAAACGCAGAAAAGGCGTACGCTTTATTAGACGCAACAATGGACAGGGCCGCAACGCGG